GGGTCTCTATGGGCCCTGGTCAGCAGTTTCTATCCATTGGGGTCCTGGTTTCTATACAAATGATCGAGTATGTGTGTTAATTGCACAGTTGTGTCTCTTTGCCACCCTGTGGACTGTAGCTCATCAGGCTCCTCTGTCCATGGAATTTGCCAGGCAAGAATACTTGAGTGGGTTGTCATTTCCTTTTCCAGGACTCAGGTATATGTGCCAGATTGTTAGCTATACTCTTTGGGGAGAAACTAGGAGTCTCGTGACTGTTTGTGATTGAAGTGTTGTTCAAACTATTACTTTTCTTGCTTGACTGTTCTTTTTTTCTGCATTTCCTCACTTCTCTAATAGCTAGTCAAGTTTGCTCTTTGGAATTCAGAAGGTCTAGAAGACTAATTGGGCTTCTCAGGTAGTGCTAATGGTAAAGAATCTGCCTGCCAATGCAGAAGATGTAAGAGATGAGGGTTCGATCGCTGGGTGGGGAAGATCCCCTGGAGGAGGAAACTTCCAGGTTGCATGGTAACCCACTCCAGTATCCTTGCCTGGAGAATCCCATGGACAGAGGAGCCTTGCAGGCTACAGTCCATAGGGTTGCTAAAGAGTTGGACACAACTGAGCAACTAACGCACAAGAGACTAAAGGCTTTTTTAAAAAACAAAAACAAGCAGGAATCATAGACGAGCTTGTATGTGGGAAGTCCCCACAGGGTCCTGGTTGACTTCAAATTTGTGCATTGATTAATCTAACTAATCATTGTCCCTTGCATTTCCTGGTCAGATTTCATTATACTCCTTGCCTCCCAACAATTTAAGTTTTTCAAACTCGGGTAAATTTGCTTGGGGCCCTTTAATGTTAAGAGACAAATAGAAGAGAGGGTTCCATTAGTCTATTCCAGTCTCTGATAGTGCTGCATCAGCACCTTTGTTTTAACTCCATCATTGTCCACTTTATTCTGTTTCTCACCCATGTAAACTGTCACTCTGCAAGAGTTCCTTGACACTCCCTTTTGTCTTCTCCCATTTTCTAACTTACTTTAATGTTTTGGTATCAATCAGACCCATACAGGGGAGCTGAGGGCACAAACCTGATAAGGTTTCTCAAACTATTAATTTACACAAGTAAATTTACACAAGTAAAGTTACACAAGGGGCTTCCCTGGTGGCTCAGCAGTGAAGAATCCACCTGCGCTGCAGGGGAAGCAGGAGACGCGGGTTCGATTTCTGGGTCGGGAAAATCCCCTGGAGGGAGAGTATGGCAACCCACTCCAGTATTCTTGCCTGAAGAAATCCCATGGACAGAGGAGCCTGGTGGGCTGCAGGCCATAGGTTCTTTCAGAGTCGGACACGAATGAAGTGACTTAGCGTGTGTGTTACCAACACACACATGTGCTTCCACTCTGTAGCACTCATATCCAAAAGCACATACCCCAAACTCGTTATTCTCACAGTGCATTTCAGTAAAGATTCTTCAGTAAGCTGGTACTGATCCACAAAGTAAAAGTTCTTTGACACCATACCTTCTGTTTCAGTAGTTCCTTTGTTCCGTTGTTGTTTGGTCACTTAGTTGCGTCCTACTCTTTGTGATCCCATGGATTGTAGCATGCCAGGATCCTCTGTCCTCCACTATCTTCCAGAGTTTGCTCTAATTCATGTCCATTGAGTTGGTGGTGCACCTCAACCTTTGCCACCCGCTTCTCCTCCTGCCTTCAACCTTTCCCAGAATCAGGGTCTTTTCCAATAAGTTGATTCTTCCCATCAGGTGGTCAAAGTATTGGAGCTTCAGCACCAGTCCTTCCAATGAATATTCAGGGCTGATTTCCTTTAGGATTCACTGTTTTGGTCTTCTTGCAGTCCAAGGGACTCTCAAAAGTCTTCTCTAGCACTACAGTTCAAAAGTGTTGATTCTTTGGCCCTTCCCCTAAATTGATTAACATCATGGTGTGCTTATAGCTGGCATTTCTAATTACCTTTTTCCACTATTCATTCCATATTAACTGCCTTCAGCATGCACCTCAGCTTTTCATGATTCTTTACTTCGCAGAATAATCAAACTTTATTACTATAGAATATGGTCCATTAGTAGTCCTGCATGAACTGAGTTATTACTGTTTTCTATTGGGGGGGCTTCCCCAGTGGCTCAGTGATAAAGAATCTGCCTGTAATGCAGGAGCCACAGGAGACATGGGTTGGGATCCCTGGGTTGGGAAAATTTCTCTGGAGGGGAGGGCATGGCTACCCACCCCAGTACTCTTGCCAGGAGAATTCCATGGCCAGAGGAGCCTGGGTGCCGACAGTCCAGGGGTTGCAAAGAGTTGGACATGACTGAAGCGATTTGGTAAGTTTTCCCGCGACCTTAATCACGGGGCATGGTAATACCAAGAGACACCCTAAGGAATCTCTTGCATATCCAGATAAATTCTTCCTTACTTGCATTGTAGAGTAATGGACCATTTACTCCTTGGTAGTAATGATCAGTCACCCCAGTTCACACAGTAATTCCCTACTTTGCCTTTTGATTCAGATGTGAGTTCAAAGTGACCAGGTGGTGGTCTTAAATTTCAGTTCAATGGAATCATTGTGTGTCCTAGTAGAAGCATCATTTCCGAAGACTTCTAGGTCAACAAGGCCTAAGATTGTGGAAAGAGCAAAAATTTTGCTAACAGTTCATTAGGGGAAATAGTGTCACTCCCACTTTTCCCCTTGATTCCTAGACCTGTGAATCCTGACTATAGGGGAAAAAATAGTATTAATACTATATATCAGATGCTGACTCAGAGCATATGCAGCCTTTTGGAGAACCTTCTGAAGCCCTGCAAGATATTGCTACCTAGTTGGTACTGTATCTGTCTTCAAAAGGCCATGCCACTGTTCTATAAATCTAGCTGCTTCAGGGTGATGGGAAACATGATTAACATTAGTGAATTCCATGAACATGGGATCATTATGTCATCTATGAACTGAATTCTTACCAGAAGCAATGCAATACCCTAATGGTGGATAAGGCATTCTATAAATCCATAGGTAAGTTTGGAAAAGGCCTTCCTGATAGCTCAGCTGCTAAAGAATCCGCTTGCAATTCAGGAGACCTGTGTTCAATCCCTGGGTTGGGAAGCCCTTGGAGAAGGAAATGGCTACTCACTCCAGTATTCTGGCCTGAAGAATTCCATGGGGAGAGGACTTTGGTAGGCTGCAGTCCATGGGGTCGCAAGGAGTTGAACAAGAATGAGCAACTTTCACACAAGTTTGGAAAAAGCATTGCATAAAGGGAAGGAAAAACCATATCCTGAATATCTATTCCAATAAGAACAAAACACTGACTGCCCCCCTCCACCAACACTTGCATGATGGAAGCAGTCTAGTGTAATCAAACTGTGCCAGGGTAGCTGGCTCAGATCCTTGAGACCGTCATTCTTCGTGTGTGCCTACGATGCAAGCTGTGACACGACAAGGGCCTGGAAGTGATCTTTCAGAGACTAATCAGGTTTCTTGGTTTTTAGAATTGAAGAAACTTATTACTGAAGAAAAAGATCACAAAATAAAAAAGAACATGGTTGTATAAGACACTTTCATGAAAACTGGGCATGACATTCTTTTACAAAGTACTAACTGAAGGAGTGTTCAATTATAAGAAACCAAAGCAGAAAGATAAATGGAAGTGGTATCAATTTTAGGATATAATAGAAGAAATAATGCAATTTCTTTTCTTTAAATATTTAGTCTTGAACTGTCATGAGTTGGAATGCAACAAAGAGCTCACAACTCCATCAGTCAGCTTTTTCCTGGGTTATGTGATGAAACAACTCCCAAATCTAAGTGGTTTACTAAAAAGGAAAACAACAACAACAACAACAAAATTATCTTTGCTCATGTTATAGGAACACAATGGGTCAGCTGTGGCTGTATTCCAGTCTGTGAGTCAGATTCACATCTGCTTCATGTATATTTTCCATCTTAGTCTAGGGTGAAAAAAAGCTCCGGGAGCATGATCATTCTTGTAAGCAGAGGAGAAAAGTGAGAGTGACTGAGCCAAGCTACAGACACATTTTAACATCTTTTATTGTTGTGGCACATTTCAAGACCACTATATTCCACTGGCCAAAGAAAATCACATAGCAAAGACTTAACATTCCTGGAGTGAGAAAAATCCCCTCCCATGGTAGAGGGACAAGAGAATAAATATCTGAACAATAATTCAAACTACCTCAATTACAACTTGTAACTCATTTCTTAAGCTTCAGAAGTCTTCATGATGGAATGTTAATTATGGTGTTAATTACTTCAGGATAGTGTTAATTATTGTTTCTACATTTCATAGCCTAAAGATGGTATTCGACTCTTTGTTCATTCAATAAATATTACAATTAGTGGTTTTGGAGACAAAAGATGTATATGTGAAGAGTTAGTTACATGATATGTTTGTATAAATGGATGTCAGGAGAAGATGCCTGATAACTGTTAAGTAAAAAGTTGGCCATTAGTATGAGTCTGAAAGGAATTCAGAAACTGACTCAATGGGAGGAATAAGTCTCATCAGACATGGAGCTGTTCAACTGTAGAGCTAATAACATTGTGTGGTAGTTGGCTAAAGAGTGGCAGAGGCTAAAGGCCACTTATTAGAAAGGATTTGGAGGCAATTTCAGTAGAACTAGTTGCGGTATTGGCATTTGAATCTTAAAATTTGTGGTTCAATTCCTCAGTGTAGATGAAGAGCTGACCAAAATCTCAGCTTCTTGTACCAATCTCAGCCAGTATTTCTACTGTCTTTCACCTAGATGACAGAAATGCTTTGGAATGGTCTTTATGTTGTCCTTATGTATGTGATGAGCCTACAAGAATAGGTCAGACCTCTGCTATGAAACTATAGGGACATATCTCGTTTGATCTGACTGGATTTGTGAGGAATCGGATTTACACTGGAGAATTGCCAAACTCAAATTTTCCTGTTGAGGTTTTTCCTCTCCACCTCAGTTCAGTATCCACTGGACTGATAGGTTCTGGACTAGTGCTTAAGAAAAAAAAAATATCTATACATTCTTTCTCCAGAATAGACTGAGCACGTGATCACGAATCTGCTTGGTCTTGACACCATAGATGATGGGATTAACCATGGGTGGGAAAAGAAGATAAAAGATAGCAAGTAGTATGTGGACATGCGGGGCAGCCCGCTGAGCCACACGGTGCATCACTGAGGAGATGACCACAGGTGTGTAGGTGGACAAGATAGCACCTACGTGGGACACACATGTCCCAAAGGCCTTGTAGCGGGCCTCCTGAGAGGCAAGCTGTAAAACTGCCTGGAGAATGAAGATATAAGACAGAATAACAAAAAGCAGGTCCAACACTACTATGAACATGGCCACAGCAATACCATAGATGTTGTTGAAGCGAGTGTCCCCACAGGCCAGCCTTACCACGGCCATGTGCTCACAGTAGCAGTGGGCGATCACTGGACCTCGGCAGTAGTGGAAGCGTCTGAGCAGAAAGGGGAGTGGAGTCATGAGTGTCACAGCCCGAGTCACAGCAGCCAAGCCGATCTTGGTGATAAGTGGCCCGGTGAGGATGGTGCTGTAGTGCAGTGGCTTGCAGATGGCCACATAGCGGTCAAAGGCCATGGCCAGCAGCACCGCCGACTCCATGATGGAGAAGGAGTGAAGAAAGAACATCTGGACCAGACAGGCATAGAAGTTTATTTCTCGATCTCTAAACCAAAAAATAGCCAGCATTTTGGGAAGTGTTGTAGAAGAAAGGACAAGATCAATGATTGCCAGCATGGCCAAAAACAAGTACATGGGCTCATGGAGGGCTGCATCAGCTTGAATAATGAAGAGAAGGGTGCAGTTTCCCAGAAGAGCCAAAGTATAGGCGAAGCAGAAAGGAATGGAGATCCAGACATGCAGGTGCTCCAAACCTGGAATTCCTACCAACAGGAAGGCAGCTGGATGGGTTGAGGTAATATTAGAGGCTGCCATGGTTCCTGGAAATTCTCCTTCATCAGTTTTTACAAGGTAACTTCTCCTATGTATAACTTCCTGGGAACATTAGCCCTTATTTCCATTTCTGGACCTTGAACAAAATCAGTTATTAGTCCTCATAGACATGGAGAAGCATAACCCACATTTCTACCCTGAAGGAACTCAATCTCATTTAGTAGATAGAACATTACACATCATGAAAATGGATATCACAAGACAGTTTCATAAAAGAACAGAGAAAAGCTAGTGTTTTCTGTGTTCATGGTGATATCAAATACCCTGATAAAAAGAAGTAAAAATACATTTAAGCCAATTAATTTTCTTTAAAATAAACCTTGGTACCCTTTCTACATGATAATTAAGCTAAACTCACAATCATAAAAGCCAATTTTCTGTTCAGAAATCTCAGACTTAGGTGTCTGGGTAAATCAAATAAAGCATACAATTTCCAATGCTCCTATTAATCACACAACTTGTATATTTTCTCTAGTACTGCTACATCTGATGTGGTTGCCACTAGCCAGACACGGTGATTTCAATTTGTAAAAATTAAATAAAATTAAAACTCAATCGATTGACATGAGTCCACCTTGAGCAAGCTCCAAGAGCTGGGGATGGACAGGGAAGCCTGCTGAGCTGCAGTTCATGGGTTGCAAAGAGTTGGACATGACTGAGTGACTGAACTGAAAGCTCAATACCTCAATCATATTTAAACACATTAACTCCTCAGTAGCATACATAACTAGTGGTTACCATATTGGACCATTCAGATACAGAATATTTCCATCACTGCAGAAAATTCTCCTGGAGACAACTGTTCTAGAATGTATCTCCCAGGTCCCTTCCATATTCACAAATCTCTGTAATACAGCCCTGCCTCTAGCTTATTGGGGTGGGGGGTGGGGGGAAGAGCCACTTCTTTCTGTTCTCCTTCACTTAAATTCATATCAACTTCCATATTCATGTAGCTATCCCTCTACCCATCCTCTAGCCTGTTCATCACAGGAGAATTCTTTTTTTTTTAATGTTTTTTTTTTTTTTAATCACACGAGAATTCTTATCTTCAGCAAGACTGATATCTGATTTCTACTTAAAGAAAAGCCCTTTATTCTTAACAATATCTAATCTTTCCCTTTTTTTCTCTTCTTTCAAATCCTTAGAGTGGCTCAGTTTCAACATAGCTACTCTTTTCTAGGTCCAGTTAATAAGTTTATGAGCATTAATAAGATAATAGATTTATAATAAGATAATAGATTTATAAAAAGATTTATTAAATAGATTTATAATAAGATAATAGAATAAGATGTTAATAACATTAATGTAATACTGGACAAAGTAAGTACTGAAAGAACTTGCTCTCTTTTAATAATAGAAAATTAAATTTTTGGAAACTTCATCTCTCAGATACCATAGTAGTGTTAGGTAGCTGAGTTCTAGCTTTATCCAATTCCAATGTCCTAAATAACTAGACTTTATTGTTTCCATTAAAATGCCTTAAATGCAAAAAATTCAGCAATCCAAGTTGAAAATAAGCTAGTTTCTTTCCATGTGGTATGAAAAAATTTAGAATCTCAAGGTTTTGAATTAAATCATGACTGCTACTTACACTAGCTGCGTGGTCTTACATTGATCACTTATCTCCAGGTCTGTTTTCCTTCTCTGTAACTGGGGAATTGCAATGCTCCACCTCACTTAGAGAAGGTTGTTGTGAGGGTAGGTGGGATTATGCATAAAATCCTTTAGTGTTTGCAGAGTCTTATTTGCCATTTATCTTTCCTCCTCCATAGAACTACAGTTTTCTGTTAAAAAATGGTTAACATTCTCTCTTCCGTGATTTTATATTCTCCTATAAACTCAAATCTCTGCTGCTCATCACAGGAAATATCTAGAAATGCTTCAGTCTCAACTGTTTGAAATGGCATTTGGTAATAAACCATTTCATTTCCATTCTGTCCCTGAAACTGCTCCCACTCACCACCAATGGGCCCTATGCAGAGGGTGCTCTTGTAACTTTCTGCTTTCATGCAACTCGGCCTCTCGGCAAGTTTTATCTGAATTACCTCTCTCATTTTTAAAATCCTCTCTTCTCTTGAGTACAATGATATTACCATTTCCTACCTTCTTAGCATCTCATTTCAGTCCCGTTTCTGCCTTACTTCTAAATATTAAATTCTTTAAGGGCTCAATATTGAACTGTGGCCAATTTTATATTCATAGAACATTCAGTAAATATATCCAGTAAACTTCCAGAACAATATTTTTACTGAATAGGTTACAGATAAATCCAAGAACAAAACAGACTGATAACTATTGATAGGACAAATTTTCTAAAGGTATGAGTAGGATAATAAAAGAACATAATAATCAAATCACAGTGTGATTGAAGGTATCCCTATTGTGAAAGAAACAGGGTGATGAGGATAGTAAATCCTGAAGTTGGAGGACAGGGGAGGTAAGCAATTTTAAATAGAACAGGAAGGGAATTTATGCAAAAACTGACATGAGGAGATAAATGAGATTGGTTTCTGGCTTCTTTAAAAGAAACTGGGATTCCATCAAGGTGGTTTATGTAGAGAAAATAATAGAAAAGTGGTTTATGTAGAGAAAATAATAGAAAAGAGTAAAACTGAAAAGTGAGTGCAGTACTGAGTGCAGAACTGAGTTGGATAATGCTGTGACCAAGTGTGTTCAACCCCACATGAAGAACCATGTAGAAGGCACCTCTGGATCATCTACCCAACACAAAAGATGAGTATATTTATCCACTGATTTCCACCCTACCACCAGGTCAATGGTTGACCCAAAGAGTGTTGATTTCTTCATACTCTCAGGTTCACACAGGCTCAAGAATAGCTGAGGAGTGTCTTTCAGGTGCCCCATGAAGTGGACCAGAGAAGAACCAGGCTAGAACAAAAAGCTGGATGAGAAGAAGTGGGACAGGCATCACAAGTTGGAGAATATAGGGAACTACCCTTGTGATAAGAACTCTAAGTGAAGGGAACAGTCAAAGCAAATTCCCTAAGGCAGAATATGCCTAATGTTCAAGGATCAGCTGAAGGCCGGTGTGGTTAGATGATGTAAATGTGGGAGAGATCCATACAGGACATATATACAGAGCCAGACCACACAGAGCCCTGCAGGCCTTTGCAGAACTTTGCAAATGCTTATTTCTCTCATTGTCACTTTTTTGGAGAACTGATATATATTTTAAAAATATATTTTTAAAGTTTTCTGCAGCTTCTGTAATAAGGATAGCGTGAATGAGTAAGGGTAAAAACAGAAGGAAAAAAGACTCCGGTGTCTGTAATCAGGGAAGGAGAATGTTGGCTAAAAAACAAAAGTGACAGCATATATGGTAAGAAGCAACGGTATTTTTTTTTAACAGATTAAATGCAGGTCATGAGAAAAAAGGAGTCAAAGATGATACCAAGATATTTGGCCTGAACAACTGGAAAAAGAAGCTGCTCTCAACTGAGTTGGGGAAGGCCACGAAGGAGGAGAAAAGCTGAGAAAATTTCAGAAGCTAAGTAGAAATCTAAATAAACCTGTTGATATATTTAGATATGAGTCTAGAGTTCAAGACAGATTTTGGCTGCTGATATAAACTTATTGCTGTAAACAGATAATAGCTATGAAGCTGAGATCACTAAGTGTTCATAAAGAGTGGAGAACCGAGAACTGAAATCTCAATAAGAGAACTTCTACCACATATGACAAATATCTAAGGAACCCCTCATTAGCCTTGGCTGGATGCAGCAACATAACATCTTCTTCTCATTGGAAAGTATTTTTGCATATCTTAATACTCCCACATATCTGCTAGAACAAGCACTTAGCTTTGTAGGAGACAAAATTAAGACAGCAGGAATGTTTGTTCTTCACAGGTTTATTTTCAGTGCCAATAAAAGTGCCATGTACCTAGCAAGCACTATTTAAATGACTGTTAACAATCTCACACCTATTGCAACTTTACCCTCAGTAAATATGGGTTTTCCCACAAAACCAAATATATTGACTTTACATCTGAGTCTCTACATTTTTCTGGCTTACTCTGTACACTTTCAGAACATAACTGATCACTTTGTGGCTTGTCCACCCTTTCTCAAAGAAAAATGCACCTGAAAAATCCTATTTCTTTATCCAAAAGCAGATTTACAACAGTATCTGAATTTTATTTCTGCTGAAGCTCATCAAGAATATACCCTTCCCAGAATCAGAACCTCAGACTGGGAAAGAGAAAGGAGACAGGCTTCTTCCTTTAATACTCAGGATGCAGGAACCTGCTTGTAGTTAACGTTTTTTCCAGGGTATACAGTTTCAAGAGCCAAAGTGTCATCACTAGACAACAGAACTTGTCGTCTTTGTTTTCCCAAAAGTACTTAAATGGCTTTTCATAAACAGAAAGCACTAGTCGACACATGCATCTGTTAGGTAGTTAGAATAGGAAAGGGGAGTCCAGAACGGCAGTGGCTAAAAGACAAGGAAGGGAAAAGCTTGCAAAAATAGAACAAAGGAAGGTCCGAGGACTGGAGTGAGGACCTCAGGCAGAACAAACAGCACTCCTAGCTAGCCCAATTTACATAGGAGAGGCCCAGGGAAAGGAGAAAAACCTAAAAAGAGGAGCCAAAGGACCAGGGCTTTCTCACTCACTCTCTGGCGCGCTCTCTTTGTCCTCTATTCTCTTAAGTCTTTTGGGTCAGCATGCCCTCACACCTCAAGGATGTATTTTCCTTTATTTTCTAAATAAAACTGAGCTGTAACATGGAACTGTAACACTGGTCGGTCTGAGAGCTGCAACGCTGGTCCATTGCTTAATTTTTTTGTTGCGACAAGACAGAACCGAGGAAATTGCACAGTCCCCGAACACATCTATTTTGTAGTCTATATATTGTAAAAAGATATCATACTGATGGATTTTAAGATTAAGACCCAGAGACGAGAACACAGTCACTCACCTAAGGTCCATTAAGGATGCAGCTTGTGGGAAAGAACCTATTAGAGATGTATTTCT